CTAGGGACAATTTAGAGTTCTCAATTAACCTAACAGTCGTGTTTTTGTTCTGTGGGAGGAAGCTGGAGTACCCGGAGAGAACCCAYGCATGCACGGAGAGAACATGCATGCTCTACCCAGAGAGGTCCCCGGGCCGGGATTTGACCCGGCAACCTTCTTGCTGAGAGTCATCAGCTCTACCAACTGAGCCACCTTTTTTTTTAAAGGAAACACGCTGAATTATCTTTTTTCTGTAGCTGGTTAAAATCCTTTAAAAGGTAGCATGAAAATCCTAACCTAATCCTAACTCAATCCAGCCATAAACTCAAAATCAGTGCAGGACGGTTCAATTTTTAATTCAAAAATACTTTATTGATCCCAGAGGTAAATTAGATCCGATTTAGATCTTAACTGATGAAATCTGATCATATTTTTTGGTTCTTGTTAGAAATGCAGTTAATTGACATTTTTATCCTTTTTAATTTCTTTTTGTTTATAGCAACTACAATTTCAGCGCAAATTTTCTAATAGTTCTTGAACGCATCATGAAGTCCTCATGTGGTGTTATAAACTGCATAGAAGTGCTGCGATAAAATGAAGCCAGAACCTAAAATAAATAAACTCTTTAATAGATTAAAAAAAAATACTCTATGACGTCCGGTGACTGACACCCTTTTGAGTTTTCTGTACTTCAAACGTGCTGTTCTCATTGCAGTTCTTCTCTTAAACAGCTGGTGTCGCTGATGAGTAAATAATACAGCTGCTTAGCAGAAACGAAACGAAAAAGAAGAGTCATACCGGAAGTATGTTCTTTTGCAAAACCAAAGCTACGAAGTGAACTGTTCTGCATTCCTTTGAAGCTATGGGTAAAGTTTCTGCAAAATTTGTAGTAATTTGATCTTTTTGACTGACCTTGCCTCAGGTGTACCATATCAGTTACTGTTATTAATGAAAAATTAGACAAACGAGGCAAATAGATGTGAAGACAGCAGGCTAATATAACGAGTAGCAGCAGCAGTGAAAATTTCGGTTTCTGGAAACAACACCAAACTCAGATTATAAAATAAGGTCCCGTTTAGTTAAAAAAAAAAACTAAAAAAAAAACCCCTAAAATTCTATATTTATTTTTCAACCTCGAAGTTTGTCGACACAACGAGATTTGCATATTTACAGTTTTCATGCGATAAGTGTTACTTTTAGTTGCAGATTATACCTTACACCTGTAAATGGTAATGTTTGTAAATTTTTCTCTGTTTGAAGTTTAACAAAGATTGGATTAAATCCATAGCAGTTAAATTGAAAATCCTGACCTAAATTCAAAATCAGTTCAGGAAAGATAAACTGATGTAATGTGATTTTATACTGTGTGTGTGTGTATATATATGTATATGTATATGTATATGTATATATATGCAAGTAAAAAAGACCTTTGTTATGAATGATTTTAGAAATGTATTGTGTTAAATTAAAATGTTTGCATTTAACTTTATGAAAAGCTAGGACAAGTTTGTAAGAGTCTTTTCAACAGGCTTAATTTATTCCTTGAAAAAAAAAAAGACTGAAAAAGCAAAATCTTATGTTTTCGTCTCAGCACGTTTACCATGTAAAGTGTGTGGAAATATAAAGTTCTTACTGTTGTTAATGTTCATGGGTTTCAGTGTTCCCTGCAGATGTTCAGCAGATGGTACTGATTCAAAACAAATCTCCTGAAGAGCAGAGGCCTGGTGTGGACCAGCAGGACCCAGACACACTAAACCTAAAGAAGGAAGAGGAGGAACCAGGCACCAGTTTGGACATAGAAGAGCTTATTGTCAAGAATGAGATGGAGGACACAGAGTTTGCACTCGCCGCAGTTCCTTCGGAGAGTGAGGATGATGAAGACAAACCTCTGTTCTCACAGCTTCATCAGCACCAAGCTGAAGTCAGAGATCTTCCAACCAGCAGCTCAGCTGACCAGATGAAAGTAGAAGCTGATGGTGAGGACTGTGGAGGAGCAGAAACATCAGGGCTTCTGGAAAGAACAGCTGCATATAATGAAGAGGAGCGTGTTTGTTTGAAGAAAAGGAAGCAACAAAAGAAAACCCTAGGTGCTGTTTTCAACTCTAAAGATGGACCGCACGGATTAGGTTTGTATTATGTAACATGTTACAATTTTTTTACATATTTATTGGATTTACCTAAGAAAAACCTGAGTAATTTAGTCTTAGCTTGCCACCGTAATGCTCATGTGCTCAGTGAAAGTGAGTTAGACACCCCTGTTTTAAAGGTTTGATTAATGTTGCTCTACTGGCTGCTCCAGCGCACTCTCAGGTTTGTAGTTTTAGTGCTTTGTGTGCTATAGTCAGACAAAATTGTAACGTGAGCTAATGTTGCCCATTGGTCATCACATTGACATATTTCCTTATTTTATCATCTTTAGGCAAGCTGTTGGTATGTTTGTGTCACTGGATTAGTTTCAGGAAGTTATCTGATATCCAGCGTTTAATGTTTGTTTTTTGTTTTGTTGTTTGAGTCAAGCAGTGAACTCAACAAGTGATGTGTGCGTCAATATCAAGACTATCAAGCTCAAAAACAGATTTATATGTGCAGATAAAGTCAACTGTTCGTAATGTTCACGTGTTCCCCGCAGATGTCTCGCAGACGGTGCTGGTCAAAGAAGAAGCTCCCGAAGAGCAGAGGCCTGATGTGGATGTGCATGAGCCAGAGACACTCAAAATAAAGGAGGAAAACGAGGAACCTTGGACCAGTTTGGATGGAGAGCAGCTTTACGTGAAGGACGAGACCGATGACGTCAGGTTTGCTTGTACTACAGTTCTTCTAAAGAGTGAGGAAGATGAAGAGAAACCTCTGTTATTACAGCTGTGTCAGCACCAAGTGAAAGATGAAGATCTCTCAACCAGCRGCTCAGCTGAGCAGATGGACGCAGTAGCTTGTGGAGAGGGCTGTGAAGAAGCTGAAACTGCTTGGAATCCAGATCTAAACACTTACGAAGATGTTTCCAGATCTTCAGAGACTGAGTATCAGCTTAAAGACTTCTCAGAGTCGGGATCAGAACCTGTAGACTATGACAAAGACTGGAAGGAGAGCAGGACTCCTGAGTCAGGTGTCAACACAGTCAACACATCTAGCAGCTTGTTTGATTGTGGGGAACAATTTCCTGAYGTTTCTTCAAGTTTTTTGGTTAAAAATAATTCTTTTAGGAGGAGGAAAACTGAAGACTCAAGCAAGATGACTCTGTTTCGTCAGAAATCATTTAGTTGTGATGTTTGTGAACAGAAGTTTGAAAAAAGGTCAAATTTAACCAGACATATGATGATCCACACRGGGCAGAAACCATTTGCTTGCGATGTGTGYGAACAACGGTTTGGACAAAAGTCAGCTTTAATCAGACACACGAGAGTCCATTCAGGACAGAAACCATTTGCTTGTGAAGTTTGTGGACAAAGGTTCGGAGATAAGTCGAACTTGAATTCACATGTGAGAACCCACACAGGACAGAAACCCTTTGCTTGTGATGTTTGTGGAAAAGGGTTTGGAGATAAGTCGAACTTAAACTCACACAAGAGAGAACACTCGGGACAGAAACCGTGGGCTTGTGAGGTTTGTGGACTAAGGTTTGGATTCAAGTCCACCTTAAACTCACACATGATGATCCACACAGGACAGAAACCATTCGCTTGTGATGTTTGTGGACAAAAGTTTGGACAAAAGTCACATTTAGAGACACACATGAGAATCCACACAGGACTGAAACCATTCGCCTGTGATGTTTGTGGACAAGCGTTTAGACAATCATCGACTTTAAGCAGACACATGAGCGTCCACTCGGGGCAGAAACCATTTGCGTGCGAGGTTTGCGGACAAAAATTTCAACTAAAGTCCAATTTAAACACACACATGAAAATCCACACCGATCAGAAACCATTTGCTTGTGAAGTTTGTGGACAAAGGTTTAGACTCAAGACAGGTCTAAACACACACATGACAGTTCACACAGATCAGAAACCATATGCTTGTGATATCTGTGAACAGAGATTTGGACAAAAGTCACACTTAAACGCGCACACGAGAATCCACACAGGACAGAAGCCGTTTGCTTGTAATGTTTGTGAACAAAGGTTTAGACAAAAGTCTAATTTAAACGCACACATGAGAATCCACACGGGACAGAGGCCATTTGTTTGTGATGTTTGTGAACAAAGGTTTACACAAAAGTCCAATTTAAACAAACACATGAGAATTCACACAAGAGGGGATGACCATATAATTGTGACTATTGAGGCAGATCCTGAAGACTCAGAGTTCACACAGAATTTAAACTGAACAGTTCAGGGTTTGTTGGTAAATACTACATGTGGTTACAACATACAGTAATGTGTGTTTTAGGGTTGGAAAATATTGGCAAAAATGTATCACCATTAATTGTGGTATTTAGTCAATAAAGATTATTATGGCAATTAATAGATGACATTTGGAAGGTTTTTGACTCTTAATCTGGAACAAATCTACTCAGCTGAAAATCTGTGATGCACTCAGTCAATCTGTCCCTTATCAGCTGCAAAGTGAGCCGTAAGATAACACAGGCTGTGGCGGTTAACTGAAGATGTTGGTTTGACAGATAATTTTTAAGAATTAGTTTAGAACTTAAAAGTTCAATCAAAATTTGCATTACATTTGGATGGAAACATGGCTAATGATACATTGCGTTCACTTCCATTAGTTAATTTAAAGAAAAAAATCTGGTTTTATAGCTTGGTGGCTGTTCGTCTGTGCCCCAACATCATTTGGCTGTTCTGGCACAGGAAGTCCGTCCTCAAAGTACTTCCACTCAGGCAAGAAAGTCTCAGCATTGTCCTCACAAAGTTATGTAAAATACAGCAGGCCACAACGACGGTGGACATGAAAGCTGGTTCCACATCGTTTCTTTTTTCCAGGCATCTCCATTGGCCCTTGAGATTCCCAAAAGTGTTTTCCACCATCTTTTAATCTGAGCTGAGACGGACGTTGAAGTTCCTCTGGTGCTGATTGACCACCTGGTGATTGGTGAAGCCTTTCATCAACCAACTGCAGAGGGGGTAAGCAGGATATCCTATAATGTGCGCTGGAACATGGACTCAGTCCACATCATCTTTATCTGTTGGCAGACAGCCGAAACATAACATTAAACTCCTTTTACTGCAATGTCAACACATGCATTCAAATTCTACATAAATCTATACATTTCTATGTTAAATTTATTGTGTAAAATATAGATGTTGATATGTCTTTAAAAATAGGTAAATGTGTCAACAGTGTGCTAGAAAAAAAGATACATCAAAGACAAAAAAAAAAAAAACATACAGTACAGACCAAAAGTTTGGACACACCTCATTCAAAGAGTTTTCTTAATTTTCATGACTATGAAAATTATAGATTCACACTAGCCTGGCCCTTGCCTTCCTATGCAGCTCCGCTCAATTCTAGTTTCCCTTCTCTGCTCCGTCTGGGACTTCTCCCATTGACAAGGATTTCGCTGGAAGATTTTTAGCCGGGCCAATCAGAGAAGAGAACGTCAATTTTCTACGCAGTGTCTGCTTGTAGTTTATTTTATCTGGGCCAATCAGCAAACAGAAGGTGGAGTTTTGAATGACGTCGATGTTGTGCGCAGTGTCTGCTAGTTATTTTAGCATACGGCAGTGGAGGAAGTGAATGAAGCCAGTC